GCCCCACGGTGCCCCAGGCAGGGGCGATGGGACCAGGTCTCCACGCCCTGTACGCCTGCCTGCCAGCCTGCCCTGTCCTGGGGAAAGGCTCCTTCCTCTCCCTGGGCCCTGCTGCCCTCTGCTGGTCGAGGTCCAGCCACCTGGCCAGTGCCCAGGGGAGGTCAGGAGCCAGGGCTGGGAGTCCCATCGAGTGTCCAAGAGCCCAGCTCTACCGCTCACTGCTTCTGGCCCCACTCTTTAGCTTTCTGAACCGGTTTCGTCCTCTATAAAGTAAGGGCATTGTGAGGACCGAGTGAGGGGGGATGTGCAGAATGTTACCTGCAGTGCCTGGCCAGACAGGACTCTGGGATGCTCTTCTGGTGGGCGGACAGGGGCACGGGTCCTACAACAACCCTGTTTCAGATTTGTGGGTGTGACGGGTGAGCTCTGCATGCGTGTCTTTCCTTCAGCAACAACCCCCGACCCCCACCCCGCTCCTGTGTATCTCAATGGCAGGAGCAGGCTGGGAGTGAATGTCAGACGCTCCCTCCCCCGCCGGTTGTGTCCACATTGGAGGTCCCATGGAGGATGGAGAATGGAGGCTTAGAAGGTAAGGACCACGTCCTGCTCACTCGCATACCCCCGCTGCTTGGTGTTCAATGTCTAGAACAGGAACCGCACGTGCTAGGCAACCAATACATACGTATTTCCTAATCAAACGCATCGAGTGTCTGCCCTGAGATTAGCACTGGTCCAGTCTTCGTGTTTCTGCAGATGTGAGCTCTGGAGGAAATTCCAGCCCATCCTCCTGCCTCCCCTTGGAGGGTCGGGCCAAATCCAACCTGTTTAAACAGAAGCATTTAGCTGGAGATCCAGCCTTTAGAACGCAGGGTGAGCCGTCAGCTATCCGGCTCTCTTTTGGATCTCTCTGTCCCTCAGCCTGCTTTCGGGCTTGGTTGGTTCCCAGCCAGTGGCTTCGGGGTGACTTCCTGGGGTCCGTGAGTTTTCATCCTCCAGGGGAAGGGCCCCCGGGGCAGAAGGAGGCCCGAGAAAACAAAGAGGTTGACCTGAAGTGGGGTGATCTGGCAGCCACCCTCCCCTCCCTGCACCCGGATGTGGTGCTGTCCAGGCAGAGGGAAGCTTCGTGACTCACAGAGTGTGCCCCACCCTCCCCACCCCCAGAATGCTAGGGAGTGGCCTGTCCTGGAGGAGGTGACTTGGGGTCCCCCCCCCGCCCCCCCCTTGCCTTCCCGGCAGGCAACCCCAAGACCGGTGGAGGCGGTGTGGAGAAATGAAGACACTGTGGTTTGTGGCTCTTGGCCCCAGCCGGCCTCTGGGCTGTGCCTTCGCCTGGCTCCCACCAGTCTGGCCGCCGCCCTGCCAGGCGGGCTTGTGAGGAACTGAAAGGGGGGCTTGGCGGGTGAGGAGGAGGAGAACAACAGCCCATAATAACAACCTGGCTCCTGGGCCAGGCGTCTCCAAGTGCTGCCACTTGCTGTGCCCTCCTGTGACACCTGGGATGGCTGCGTGGGGTGGCCTGGTGGGATCCGCCTGCCTCTCCCACTGCCGGGGGAAGGCGCTCGCCTTCTCCAAGTTTCTCACGCAGGGGAGAGGATGGCATTCTTCCCTCACAGTGTCCCCACCCTTCCCACAGTCCACCATGCCGCCACCACGGCCTCCGGCCCAGGAGTCGCCCGGCCTTGACCTGTGCGGGCTTGTTTCTTCTGTAGTGTCTGGACGTCTGTGGCTGCCCAACTGGTCTCCTGCTCCCGCCTCTGCCTCCCAGCCGTCCTGCCCCGTCCATCACCAGACTCTCATCTTCGGGCTGTTCCCACAGCAGGGAAGCAAAGCCCAATTCCTTAGCCAAGGGGCCTGTGCAAAGACGGTGGACCCTTTGGGGCGTGTGCAGTGAGCAGGGGGTGAACAAGTCGGCAGGTCCACAGGCTTTCCTGGGAAAGGTGGTGTCGGAGCTAGACTCTGAAGGATTTGGGGACGGAGGGGGAATTTGAACAGGCAGTGATCAGGAGGAAGGGCACGCCGAGGCGGGCCAACAGCCTGAGCAACAGTACTGGTCCGTGGTGCTCCCTGGTGCGGTCCCCCACACGTGGCTGGAGTGTCAGGTGTCTGGACAAGAAGTAGGGGAGGTGGCCTGCAGCCAGATGCAGGAGACCCCAAGTCCCCGTCTGGGGAAGCAGGACGGCCTTCTCTGGGCAGAGGGGCTCGGGTGACGTGACTGGATCCGTGCTTCGGAAAATGGCTGTGCTGGTGGTGGTGAGGAGGATGAAGGAGGCAGGGAGGTTTATGCGGCAATCCAGGCAGGACGAGGTGTGAGCCTGAAGTGGAGCACTGATCCTTTCGTCCAGCCCATGTTTCTTTGTGCTTCCTATAGGCTGGGCACTGCTTGAGACACAGGGGATTCCAATAAACCCAGTCTGGGCTCTTGGGGAGCCCGCAATCCAGCAGGGGAGACAGACAGGACCAGGGCACATGGTGAAGAGAGTAAAGAAAGTAAAGGAGAGCAGCCAAGGGCGGGGCGAGGCAGAGAAAGCTAATGTGTGTCCCCGACTCAACTGCTCCCCTGCAGGGACCCCGTCAAACCAGGCACAGTCCGCTTCCCCTGCTGTGTGGTGGCTCCAGAAGCCCCTTCCCTGTGCACCACTGCGCCCTCCATCTCCCTGACCACCCCCCCACCCCCACCCCCGGCCTCCCCTCTGCTCAGAGATCAGCTCTTCTCTGCCCTTAACCTTGCAGCATGTGTTCTGGGTGTGACGCAGTGACCGCTGAGTTAACCTTCAGGCCTACCTCCCGCCATGTGACCTTCTTCCTCAGGAAACCCGTCCGGTAAGGCCTTCCGCTGATTGGATGAGGCCCACACAATACGCAAGGTCATCTCTCTACTCAAAGCCTACTGACTTAAATGTTAATTACATGCAAACAATATTTTCGGGAGCAGCATCTAGGCTGGTGTTGGTCCAAACGACCAGGCACTGTTACCTAGTCAAGTTGACACGTAAAGTAACCTTCAAGCCTGTTTCTTTCTCTGTCTAATCATCTCATTCCTGGTAGACCGACTACCGAAATGAGTAGTCTAATCTAATCTAATAGTACTAATAGATAGTACTAATAGATAGTACTCTATCTAATCATCTCATTCCTGGTAGACCGACTACAAAGAAGCGGGACCTATTCTTCCCGTTTACCAGGTGAGAAGGCTGAGCCCGTCCCAGGACCAAGCACATCACTCCTTCCACCTCTGTGTTAATCCTCTCAGCCCCCCATCCTTTCACTCTGCTTGCCTTGCAAAACTTCACACGGCATCTCAAGCTCTCAGGTCACCATGATGGGACACGTGTTCCCCCCTATGCTTACCTGTGGTCCTCTTTCCGGGGAAGGGCTTTCTCTCCAGGTAACTTCCCAACCACCTCTTCAGGCTGGGGTTGGGACCCCTCCTGTGCTTATGCAGGGCACTGTAAACACACCTGGCTTTGAGGGCACAAACCGCGGTTCCCGTGTATTATCCCCAGCTCTTGTCACAGCGTGGGGCACACCAGAGAGCTCGTGAGACACCAGGCTGTTGAAGGAACAGATGACAGTCCCTGGTTGTCTCAGGGAAGGAGCCTACGCCCCCTCCCCCATCTCCTAACTTCTTGTTCAACATCTTGCCCTCAAGTGTAGGACATACTGTCCAGCCCAGCCGTACTCCGTGCAATTCATTCCATGCTTCCTGCATCTTCCTTTATGGCCGGCACTGTGCTGGGTAGCGGACAAGCATTTTGTCACTTTGCTCCCGTAGCAACCCTGTAGGATGGGTATGATTGTTCCCATTTGCTAGATGGGGTATTGAGGCTCAAAGAGTGTTACCTCTCGTAAAATCACATAGCTATGGAAAATGAGAGCACTGACATTCGAACCCAGATCTGCCACTGACTCCAGGGATGGGACACTCATCAATGCCAAGAGGCCAAGCCACATCCTCAGCTAGGAGCTGGGGGACAAAAAGATGAAGCCAATAGGATCCTTACTCCAAGGAAGTCAAGGTCTAGTGCAAGAAGACAGAGGCACAAGAAGTCAGTGTGAAAAGCATCATGGCGACGTAAATATCAGCGCTCCAGGAACACGTATTTTGGGAAATTACAGAAGAGAGCGGTCTGAGCTGGGATTGGGGAGGGCAGGAAGCGGAGAATAGGGAAGAACATTCTGGGCATGGGGTATGCTTGGCGGGGAGGAAAAATCAAGCTAAAATCTAGGCCAGGAAAAGCTATTTCCCATCCCTAGCAGTTTCTAGTAAAAGCCTGAAGCAGAGCCTGTAATCCACGTGGGGTTTTTAGAGCGGGCCCCTAACACCATTTCACCTGCCTCCGTTCAGTTCTGTGACCCAAGCTGTGAGCCCTCACCAGGCAGAAGTGGTCCCTCCCTCGAGCTTTTTCTAAAGAAACCGAAGGGGTGTGTGTTTGTGGCTGGTTCTACGTGCTGGGACCTCATCCGATCAGTCGAAGGCCTTAAGAAAAATGACCGATTTGTCGAGGAAGGAGTTCTGCTTCAAGTCAGCAACACAGAAAGCCTGCCTGAGTATCCAGCCTGCCGCCCTGCAGAATTCAGCCTCAAGACTGCAACATCAACTTACCTGAATCTCCAGCCTCCTCCTGCTGGCCCCTCTGATCATGTGAGATAATATAATATCCAGTATATTACGTATATTACAGCTCTGCAGTATTACATATTTATCATAAACCAAAATAAGACTTGTGAATGTTTTGTGAGCACTTACTGTGTGCCAGGCACCTGCTAAGTTCTTTGCGTGTGTCTCATGAGGCTCTCACTCATCTAAAGGCTCCATGACATCATTTGTGATTGGTCCCATTTCACAGATGAGGATATTGAGATGCAGAGGGTGGAAGTAATTTGCCCAAGGTCCTAAGGTGACAAAGCCAGGTTTGGATCCAAGAGGTTCCCCTCCAGTGCCTACAGGTGGTGAATTCTTACCTGCTACGGAACATGCGTGTAAAGCAAGAGACATGATATAACTGACAAAAGATGTTGTTTTACTTGTTATAGTTACCACTGGATGGGCAAGGGGGAAGGGCAAGGTGTGAGTTCTGACCCAGGTTCCTAGAAGCGCAAGGTCCTGAAGGTGCAGCCCTGGGAACAGCCGCTAGGCGGCACCAGGCTGCACAGGCTGCTTCCGGATGTGCGGTCCAGGCTGGGGGCTGGGCGTCTGGTAGTCATTCTAGGCCACTCCAGGGCTAGCCCCCACAGGGCTGGTGGGCTCTGGAATCCCCTTCCTCAGGCCTCAGGGGGGGTTACGCTCCAGTCCAGGGACCACAGACCCGGGGTCCGGTGCCCGGCCTTCATGGTGTCCATCTGTTTTGAGGTGCAGTTCGGTAGTCACAGCCTGGGGACTGGGTCTAGCCCAGTCAAGTGGGCAGAAAGAAGGTCAGCACCCAGCTCCTTCCTATGCTGCTGGGTGGTGGGGGCAGGGAAGGCCTCAAGATGTCAGGTCAGCACACAAAAACTCCGGGTAACCCTCCTCCAGAAGTTGCGGCTGCGGCTGCTCAGGGCCACCTCGGCTGCTTCCTGGAAGACCGCGTGGACGTTTTCCTGGAGCAAGGCCGAGCACTCAAGGTAGGCCACTGCGCCCACGGACCTCGCCATCTCCTGGCCCTAACAGAGAGAGTGCACAGGGCTGCCGTGAGGTACAGGACTTGGGGGCCTCACGTCCCGCCTCCCCGCAGCCCTCGTGGTCATCCTAGGGAGTCTCCAGGACAAAAGTGGAAGGCGAGTTTTTCTAGGACCCCTACAGCTCCTGCCCCCGATCTCGACCAAGCACTCTCGTGGCTTCGTTGGGTTTCCTGCCTCAGCTCCAGGATGGGTCCCTGCCTCTCAAGGCACCAACTAATTGACTTCCCAGGTATGTAGCAGAGAGGGGCCTGCAGAAGAGCTAAGGGTTCTTCTCCAGACCTCAGGTTCCCTATCTGTGAAGTGGATGGGTAGGATTATCTGAATGTGCACACCACTGGCTCTCTCTTCCATAGGCAGAACCTTCCAGAGTGTTCTAGGTACCACTTCCAAGCCCAGGCAATTCTGAGATGACCCCTGCCCTGACCCACTCTTAAGTGTGCTGGATGTCTGGCCCTGCTGACAGGCTGGGCTACATCAGCGTACCCAGAAGTTCCCCCCGCCCCCAGAACCGGGCCCCTGGGCAGAGTTTCCTACCCTGTGGTAGGTAACAGGCTCCAGTCTATTTTTCCGCAACTTCTTCACCAGCGACTTGTCCTTGCGCAGGTCCGTTTTGCAGCCCACGACAATGAGGGGCACCTCCTTGCAGAAGTGGTTCACCTCTGGGTACCACTGCGGGGAGGGGGGCAGTGCAGGTGTGTATTAGTCATAGGGACTGTTCTTTTCTGCAGATGGGGAGGATGGGTCACTCTCCTGCTCCCCAGGCAGACTCCAGTGGTGATAATCAGTACAGCCAACATTTAGGGAGAACTACTCTGAGCTAGGCTCTAAGACTTCACATGTATGATATCATCAATCCCCCAAGTCCCTGTGAAGTAAGTTCTATCATCAGTCCCACTGTACAGATGCACTAACTGAGGCTTGGAGAGGCTGTATAACTTGGCCTTGGCCACACGACTAGAAGTGGCAGGATTTGAGTCCAGGGGCTGGGGCCCAGAGCCCTGCTCCCACCTGGTCTAGAATCCTGCCACTCTGCTAGGTAAGGGCTCCCAAGTCCACCTCCCGGCTGGGTAAGATATATAAGGAAATAAGTCATCCTTTAAAAATAAAGCAGCTCACAAAATGGATGCAGCAGCTGTTTGCCTGTCGGAGGGAACACTTCTGTTCTGTGTCAGCTGCTCTTTGGAATGTGAGGCTCCGGGGCCTGGTTATTCCAGCCTGGACAACGACTGGGAAGTCTAGAATCTGGAGACGGGGGCTTTATATGTCCAGGAGTGCATGCCTGCTCAGTTTGTGTTCTGGAAAAATACTGGCATCAAACCGTCTGGCTCCTGGAGACAGATGGGGCCCAGGTGGGGTCCCGGGCTGACTCCCCAGACCCCAACCCCCTCCACACAACTGCACTTGAAAACAGTCTCCAAAAATGGTCTCCACCGTGACTTCACCTTGCTAAATCCAACAGTGAATCCTCAGCCTTCAACCTACCTGAGCCCTGGCACCAGCCAGGGATCTCTCCCTCCTATACGACCTGGGTGGCGCTTTGCCCTAGGACCCTGCTCTCTTGGTTCTTCTCCTTGGGTCTCCAGGGGTCCTCCCCACCCCCACCCCATCTTGTCCAAAGCTGTTCCCCACTAGCAGTCCCCAAATGGATCTGCCCAGCCCGGCCTGGCCCTCTCCTGGGAACGGCAGACTAAGACCTCCACCTGTGTACCTGGCCCTCCACTGGGATGTCCAACAGGCCCCCATCTCCCACCTCCTCGCCCACCCCTTGTTCCTTCTCATCTCAGCGGGGGGAAATGGCAAGGCTACCTTCCACTTGCTCTGGTCAAGGCGTCTCTCCCACCTACATCCAATCTGTAAATCCTGATGGCTTTCCAAACAGGGTCTATTCCCACCCACCTCTCACCACGCCCCCTGCTAGCACCCTGGTCACAGCCACCACCACCCACCATCTCTCCTAGGGCCCCAGCACCTAGAACAGTGCCTGGTGCACAGATGTGTTGCCATTTTATTTTTATTAAATTAAAAGAAATTTTTAAAAATATTTATTCATTTTTTGAGAGAGAGAGAGAGAGAGAGAGAGAGAGAGAAAGAGAGCGCGCGCAAGTGAGCACGAGTGGGGGAGGGGCAGAAAGACAGGGAGACACAGAATCCAAAGCAGGCTCCAGGCTCTGAGCTGTCAGCACAGAGTCCGATGCGGGGCTTGAACCCACAAACCGCAAGATCATGACCTGAGCCAGTCAGATGCTTAACCAACAGCGCCACCCGGGAGGCCCCATCAAGGCTGCCACTTGAATAGATGTGTATCTTGGAGCAACGGATCCATTCTGGAGATAATACTACTATGGGCTCCATCAGGTTGTTAGATGGAGTAAACGAGTGAACGTGTGGAAGTGCCCGCCCACAACGGTGCATGGCATAAGGAAAGTTCTCAATAAATATTATCATCGTCACTGTGGTTAATGTTACTGATGCTGTCACCAGCTGTGCTCCGGAACCCTGAAGCACACAGTTCACGTGGAGGCCTGGCAGCAGTGGGGTAGGAGCAGAAAAACTCAAGGGACCACATCCCTGACACCTGGGGGCAGGGAGAAGCCTTGGGAACCCCCGACATACCTGGGGGGTGGGTAGTTTGGGAGGCTGCTAAAAGCTAGCGGTCACACAGAAGGGGGCTGAGCTGCTAGAAGCTGACCATTCATGCATCTTTGGGCAGGCCCAGGCTGGGGAGATGCAGGGGCCCCTGAGTCATCCAGTATTCTCAGGCAGGGTCACCAAGGAAAGAGCCACAGCATTCTGAGTCCAGTACAGAGCAGGCAAAGAGCACTGGACTGGGAATATGAGGCCAGACCCTGCCACCAAATCCCTACGGCACCTCTGGCAAGTTGCTACCCTTGCTCTGGGCCTCGGTTTCCCCATATATATGCTAAAGATGCTGGACTGGATGCCATCCAGGGCCTGCCACACTCTGGCAGTCTGCTGAGTCAAGGGTGGGGGCAGAGCGGAGTGGCCTGGTTATGGGGACTGTACCTCCCCAAGTCCCTGGTACCTACCCGGTTAAAGATGTTGTCAAAGCTGTGTGGGCTGGTGACATCAAAGCAGAGGAGCAGGACACTGGCATCAGGGTAGAACAGGGGCCGCAGGCGGTCATAGTCAACTTGTCCTGCGGAGAGTGGGGGTGGTCACTCCCTCCAGATCTCCCCCAACATCAGGGAGGTCATCCCACCAGACAGGGGCGTCTGGACCAGGGCCTGGTTGTGTGCCTCAAGGTCTTAGCAGATTCAGTGCTTAGCTGGTCATTCCACGTGAATGTCTCCCTCGGGGCAGTGTTCCCCTGGCTTGCCCGTGGGATGTGCCAGCCCTGGCCTGGGTGACACCACTTGCTGAGAGAGCCCTGTTCTGGAAGGAGCGGAGGGGAGGGCGGAAGCCCAGTCTGCAGGGACTGAGCCCATCCCGCAGAAGCCTGCTTTGCCCCCGGCATGGGGCTGAGGACTAAGAAGCGGTAGGACCCTGGGGAAAGGCACCTTGGCGCATGCATGACGGTAAGGGGGCCGCTGGGCCTCCCTGGGGTTAGCGGTCAGCTCTGGCATGGATGTGACTGAACCCTCATGTAGGCGAGGTCAGGAAGCTGGAGGGCAGAGGTCAAAGTCAGGCAGTTCTTACGGGAGCTAAAGCCAAGGTGGAATGCTTAGGAGGCCAGGAACAGTTCACCCCTTGAGAGGAAAGCGCTCTGGAATCCCCCTTGTCTGCAGGATGCACTTGGCTACCCTGGGCTGGGGGAGGCAGCAGACACAGGCACAGAAGCAAAGTGGGTTCGGGTTCCTGGGGACCCTAACCCTGGCCAACACCTGTCCCTTGGTGATTGGTTGGCCTCCCCGGTTCAGAAGGAAAGGAGTAGGGCTTGGCTTCTGGGCATGTGAGGCTCCCCTCCCGCCCTCGCAGCCCTGCATACCCACCTGCTGTGTCCCAGATTTGGAGGTTCAGGGGTTTGCCCTTCATTTGCAGATTAACGGTGACCCGCTCAAACACAGTGGGGGTGTAGCTCTGAGGAAGAAGGGGACAAGATGCAGGCTGTGAGGACAGCTTCTGAAGCAGGGTGGCCCGCACAGCCCACGAATGCCTGCAGCACAGCTCCGGTTTGGGAGTCTGACGGTGTGAGGGAGACAGTCTCCGGGAAGCAGGCTGTGGCCAGCAGGGCTGAGGCTTCGAGCTGCCGCTTCCTCCTATTTGCCCAGCAAGGCCCTGAACCTCCCCGGCCTTCTCGACGGTAAAGTGGGAATATTAAAAGCACCGAATGCAGGGTGCTGCTGTAAGGATTCAGTGAGAGGCTCTGTGCAGAGCCTGGCACAAAATAAGCACTCTACACATGCCAGCCACTGTTATTTTTATCTTTGTCCCCCTGGATGGGGGACTGTCCCATTTCTGAGTCTTCCTTCATTCTGTCCCCTCCTCCTAGAATGACATTAACCTACATCTGTTCGTTCGTTCATTCATTCATTCGTTCGTTCACACATTCATTCAGTAAACATCGGCACCTTCTCTGGCTCTGGATATCGGGGAACTAGTAATAAACAAGGCTCACTGTGTGCCCTGGGGAGCTTTGCAGCTTTTGGGGGGGGAGGGTCCCTGCTTTGTCTCTCAACCTCTCAGGCCCCTGCCCCATGCCACGTCCCCCAGGATGCCTTTCTGGAACCCTTCCCACACCCTCTCTATTTCTGCCTTTCTTATTTGCCCTGCGGGCATCAGGAGGAAGTCACCCAGACCACATGCCCTTCCTGCCCAGGCTGAGAGCCTGACTGCATTCCTTCTCCGTAAAGGCTGGGTGAATGGAAACAGGGTGGGTTTTGCGCACAAGACGCAGAAATGAGAAGGGGAAGCTTCTACGGATGGGGTCTGAGCAACAGGTGAGGAGGTTTTCAAAACTCTACTGCAACACAAGCCCTTGGCTGGAGCGGGAAGCTAAACCAGCTACGTCTTGGGTCCCCAAGCCTCACCCGCTTGCTCAGGGCTGGCTGGCGGGATCACAGCATAGGGAGACCCTGTCCTCCCCCCCTTCCAATGCCAGGTGGGGCCCCCAGCTGCCTGTGACTCAGGAGGACTTCAGGCCTGCCTGCCTGCCTGCCCGCTGGCATTCTGAGTCAGGCCCTGGCTGCGTGGAGGGGCGGCCCCTTAGTGGTGGGTCAGTGCGGTCCTCCAGGCCACGTGGGAAGGTACAGGGGGAGGATGGAGAAAGGTGAGTCCCAAAGTGGGCAGATGGGGAAGTCGAGGCTGACCCTGGGATAGAGGTTCAATCCGCCCTGGACCCTAGCCACCTGTCACTCTCTCTACTAGCAGGTACAGACGAGGGCTCCACCCACCTCCCCAGCACCCCCCTGCCCTGGCCCCCTCCCCTCAGGCCCTTTGTCTGGTGGGAGGCAGCGTGACTTGGTGGCTAGGAGCACTGGCTTTGGAATCAGATGTTCCCGCTTTAGGACTGGCTCTGGCCCTCACCAGCTGTGTGACTTTGGGCCCGTCCCCTCTCTGGTTAAAGAAGAGTCTCCCTTTTTAGTGTAGGGGAGACCGACTGGCAGGCAAGGCCCAGCATAAAGGCCCACTACTTAGAAAGCTGGTCGCCAGGGGCAATGTCCGCGCCAGCTGCCATCCATCCATCCCTCCAGGCGATGCGCCCTTCCCCCGCCTATCACCGTGGAGGGCACTGACACCTGCTTCCACTCACCCACTCACCTGTGGCAGGACCCCTCCTGATGTGACGCAGAGGGCAACCTGCCACAAAGCTCTTGGGAGACACGTGTCAGTACCTCGCAAATGCCTGTGGAGATGACAGCGTCGTGCACATTTTCTAGGCATCTACCATGCGTGGCCCTCCATGCGTACTGTCCCTGACCCTTGCATCCTTGGGAAGTGGGCACTATTCCCATTTTCCTGATGAGGACAGAGGAGGGAAGTGAATTGCCCGAGGTAACATACTGGACAGCCGGCTAAGGATGGAGTCAGGTCTTTCTGGCTCCAGAGGTCAGGCTCTGTCCCCGGTCATGTGCCTTTTCCTGAGGTCACCGACTCTCTGGCCCCTGGTGCCAGGAGTGGGTAGGAAAGCCCCATTCCAGGCTTCGTGGCTGGGTTGCTCCCGGGGCTTGGAACTGTCACAACCCTCCCCCCTACTCTGCAATGTCATCCTGGAGACTTTTACACCTTCTGTTGTGTTCTTTGAACCACCAGGCAGGGTCACTCTGACCATTAAGTGCCTAATCTTATCTGTTAAGCTGTCCTCAGCCAGGATGGCAGGGTGAGGCCTGAGCTAGACTAGGGCAGAGATGACTCAGGCTTGGATCTGTCCTCATGGGGCTCACAGACAGACAGATGGGTCATTATAGGACAGGAGAACGTAGGTCAAGAAGAGAGTCAGGGGTTTCACACCCATGAGAGTCCCTGTGCGGACCAGGAGGGGCTCAGCTGGTTCTGGAAGGTAGGGCTGGTGCTCTCTGCCCCCTCCCCTCCCCACTCCTCCATGGGACCCCTGGGCTTTGGAATGGTTGCTGAGCCAAATGTCAGCCAGGACTGGGCAGAGGCTGGTGCCCAGCCTGGACTTCCTCTGCCTCAGGAGCTCTCTCTACTCTGTTCCCCTGCCCCAAGGCTGGGCCACAGACAGACAAGAGTCACTGAGGCCCCTTTAAATCCCAGCCTACTCTCTGTTCTTTGGGGGCCTCCAAGTCTTCTAGCTGCTGGCTCCCATAGCTTGGAGGGCTGCCAGGAGGAGGAGTTTAGGGGCAGGAGCAGAAGGCTGGTCTGGCAGGCGGAGCACTGGGGGCTATGAAGAGTATTCTGGTCAGGGGCGGGGAGAACTGGGCTCCTGACCGGCACTGCCACCACTGGGCTCCCTAAGGCAAGACTGTCGCTGTGGCTTCACTTTTCCCACCTGTAACACGAGGCCTTTCCAGCACTTGGACCTTGTAGTTCTCTTAAAAGGAAAGGTCTTTCTTGGGCCTGGAGACAGAGGGGTCCCTAAACAGATGAGGACAGGTCAGGTCCATCCCCCTGGTGACAAGCATGTCCTCCCTTCTCCTGGCCAGCTGCAGCCTATCCTTCAAAACACACATTCCATCAACTTCCAGACGACCATTTCCACGCCGCCACCTCTCTGGAATCAGGATGAGCCTTGCCATCAGGGATGTCTCAGAGCCCAAGATACTCCTCCCAGCTGGTCTCCTGGACCCTGGCTGGCCTGGTCCCTCTGCGGGCACTCTCCCCACCATGTCGTAATTGTTGGGTTCCCATGCGCAGCATGTGGGGGCCCAGAAACTTGTCCAACCCAACTTAAAAATGTGACTGGCCAGCGGAGGTGATGTCAGCTCCGTAAACCACAAAGCAAAAGTTGGCTCGATGCTGCCACAGTGGAAAGGAAGGTCTGACACTTTTACCAGGCCTGGCCTCTCCTGCCTCCCCCCGTCGGACTCCCAGGGCTTGAGCAAACCCAGGGGTTTGGAGGATGCTGGGACAGGCAGGAGGGAGAAGAAATGCTGGAAGCAAACCCCCGGACTCCCAGGAGAACTGGGCTGAGAGGTGGCACAGTGAGTGGGTCCAGCCCCTGTCCTGGTGCCTGTGAGTCCGCGTAGACAGTCAATGAGCATGCTAGCGAAGGACTGAGGGCCCACGTGCCCAGAGCGTCCAGGATGTGCCACGTCCACAGGGGCCGTCTCTCAGCCTTAACCTTAATTCTGCCTCGCCACCACTCTTAAGTCTCCTGCCCTATGAGATTGTGTAAGGAAACAGAGGCTCAGAGAGGCTAAGCAAGTTACTGAGGGCCACACAGTTTGTTAGAGGACAGCTGAGGTGCCAAACAAGCTGCTCGACCTGAGTCTGGTATGCTTTGGCCCTCCAAGACAGAGCCCACGACACGTCCGTTGTACAGGCAAGAGCTGGTGGAGAAGAGATGACATCTGCCAACTTTCGGTGAGTCTTTCCTGTCGCCGGCTCAGAGGTGAGCCCTTGACCCGTACTAACTCACCCTTCACAGTGACCCTGGAAGGTGGGCACCATCCTTATTCCTCTGATGCGGTTAAAACAGGCACAGAGAGGGTAGGGGACTAGCCCAAGGGTGCACAGCTTTAGGTGGCAAAGTCGTAATTCGAACCCAGGCAAGGGTGGCTCCAGTGTCCTCAGTCCCTCCGAGCCATGCCGCGCCACCAAGTGCTCTCTTAGGATCTGCCGGGTACCCAGCTGGCCCAAGTCCGTCCCACGACACCTCTCCCAGGTAGGTGCCATTCTTGCCACTTTGCAGATGATACCACTGAGGCCCTCGCTGCCGATGGCGGAGCGAGAAACGCCTTGGCGCCCACACTCTGCTGGGAGACCCCTTGGGAGGCCGGGGTTGGGGGCGGGGAGCGCGCGAGGCGGGGTTGGGGGCTGCCACTCACCTCGGGGAAGGCCCCCTCAGTGAAGACCATCAGCAGCGACGTCTTCCCGCAGCCGCCGTCGCCCACCAGCACCACCTTGACGGACCGTGCGCCCGGCGGCGCCTCGGCGTCCGCGGTCTGGGCGGCCTTCATCGCGGGCCGGCGGGCTTCGGCGGGCTTCGGCGGGCTTCGGCGCGCGGCGCGCGGGG